GAAGACCCACATTTATAACAAATCAGGCTGCATATCAAAGTGATCAGCCAAGGAAAACAACACAAACATTTGCTTTAGATACAGAACAGTTTTTTTACATTTGATATTTCAGTTGAACTGAATTGAAACTGGGTGAACAAATACAGGGTTCCCACTCTTTTATAGAAATCATTTTCCAGGAGTTTTCCAGGACCTTTTCATCCTGCCTTAAAATTTATTTATTTTTGACATTGTGGCATGAACATTGTCTGTTAGCTTTCTTTTTAGTCTGGCTTTTATGTAGTGTCTCACTATAAAAATGTATGGTTTATATTAGGTTTTAATCTTTATATACTCTTTTCTACAAACAGATTCTGTTGACTGACTGTTTCAGTAGCTGAAATTTTATTTTGCCAGCTTTATCATTTCTTTTTGTCACCATTAATTTACACGGGAAACAAAAAAGAGTCTGACTCTTTAGACTTCCAGTTAGCCATGCTTTGCGCCTATACCATGCTCTTGAAAATGTCCACGCCTATTGTCTGCTCTTGTCGTTTGTCACTCCCTGAGCAGTGACGTCTGGACCGAGCTCTTTCAGCTTTAGTTAGTCCTGGAGAGTTCTCCTCTCAAACGGGACCTATTTGATGGACAGCGCAGCGTTCTCTGGTAAATCACTCAGTAGGGGGTTTGCGGTAGTCATTCCCATGTCCTCTGTCATCAGCAGCCAAGTGCAGAGAGGGGGGTGGACCGGCTCCGAGTAGAGCAGCTTGCTACATCAGACGCACATTGTAGCTATGTGTCCGTTTGTGGCCAATCTGGTTATGAACGTGCTTACGTCATTTAAATTAGGGACACTGGGGCGCTCGTCCCTGGCGCCCCTTAAGAAATTTTTTTTTATGTGGCTAGAATAAGCTAACTTTTTTAATGCAGAACTGTGATCTGAGCATGCGTGAGGTAGCAGAAAGCTTGGACGCTGGCCCGTAGCGCCGCTGACGCTAATGCACAACTGTGATCTGAGCATGTGTTAGACACAGACGTTCCGAGTCTGCCCCGGCTCTAGGTGGAGAGATCGCTAACAGACTGAAATACACATTTAATGGAATGATAAATACAGCGCCATTTCCTTACTTTGAGAATAATTCTCAGGGAGACAGCAGACAGCTCTTTTTGCTAACGCAGCTCAGGCGGGGCTCCGCCCACAGCGCCCTTATATACCAGCCGCCACTGATTTCAGGGTCATTTTATGCGTACTTGCTCTCTGAAAAGGCTCACTGGAAGACTTCCATGAAATGATACAATACAATACATACAGTACATGTTTTCAGTCAAATCTTTGCTCTTCATGCTACTGTTTGCTGTTGCTGAGGTGCAGGTATAAAAAAGCAAACATGTCGAGGTATTTCCAAGCCTCCAATTAAACCACTTACAAGAAGGGGCGGTCACGTGTTTCAGTTTGTGGATCTGTCATGCAATGACCTACTCCATCCAGCAGGATCTGTCACAGTCGTGGATCTGCTGGGTTCTGGCTCTGCAGACACCCCCTTCTCTGATAAGGACAGCAGTTAAACAGGTGGGCTTGATATCTTAGAGACACAACTCTCCCATCCAAACACTGACACACACATTCAGCCACCATGAAAATGGAAAGGCACACACTTCATCATTTTTAAAAGCTCAAACAAAAAGTAGTCCTGGTCAAATCTTGACTCAGCAACTAAATATACAGTGTAGACAGAGAAACTGAACCAGAGGCGGATAAATGCTTATACAGCATCTCATGTTCTCAAGGATGAAATCTTGATGTATTGCCATCGCCATGATGATCTGACTGTGGTTTAATGAGAGTTTATTTTCTCAAACCTTCATGCCAGTTCTTTTACTGAATCTATTTCAACAAGAAAAAGCCACTGGCCAAATGTTTGCAGCCAGCTGAATACAAGGCTTAAAAAATTGGGGTTTGGGATTAAGAAAAGAGGGCTGACAATCTGTGAAAATGTGAGGCTGTGATTTACAAGTTAAATCTGAGACAACAGGCCCACTGTTACGGATCTGTCTCTGACAGAAGAAATCAGTATAATGCTGTACTGATTTCATCTGAGACCCGCCAGAATGAAGCAAGGTCTGTAAAGTAAAGGTAATGGGCCACAGTGGAAACACAAGAAAACAGGCTGGATGAGGAGGTGTTAGAGACAAGACAGATGGCCCCATCCACAGGTTCAGTTGCTAATGTAAGCTCTGCTCAGCAGGTTCTTCTTATCCCCTTTCATTTTGAGAGTTTCCTTTATTATTTTAAAAAAAAGAAAGTTATTCTGCTCCAGCTAATGTGTCATAAAGACACACAAATTGTATTTTTATTGTGGCGTCACGAGATATATTTTACCAGTTTGGATACCAACAGAACTTTGTTTGTCCAACAACGCCACCTTGAGAGAGGGCCCAAGGACCCGTATCTAAAGGTCAATTATCTTTAGACACACAGCTGCTGGACGAGTACACTTTCGAAATTGCGACCCTGATCGGAATGAATGCGTGCTGGAACGCCAAACTTGGAAAACCACTCTGTGACAAGCACCTGTGCCACTGTAGAGGCACGCTGGTCACGGGTGGGAATAGCAAGAGTGTATTTACTGAAGACATCCGTCAGCACAAGGACATTCTCCAGCCCGTTATGGGTTGGTTCGAGGACAGTGAAATCCATCGCCAGGATCTCGTTAGGTTCCGAAGCAAGCAGATGTCACATAAAACTACGGACTGGTGGTCCAGGGTCCTTAGCCACTTGGCATCGCTCGCAACTCTGACACCAGCGCCGCACATCTGCTGACATCCCCGACCAATAGCACCGCTGCCTAAGCAAATCCAGAGTCCTGCCCACCCCCTGGTGGCCATGATTTTGGTGCAGCTCGGTGAGGACTTTTTCCTTCAGCACCTCGGGCAGCAGCACCTGGAGAGCCACTTCTCCTCCGTCTGCACGAGAGACTTGCCGGTACACAACTCCGGCCTGCTCACTCAATCGCCCCCACTGCTTAAAGAACCAGAGCTGTGGGGGACAGCCGTTTACGTTCCGCATGATTTGGATAACGTTTCTGCTGCCAGAATGAAAGGACTTCCTGGATCACAGGATCAGCTCGCTGCAGGTCTCCAATGTCTGCAGGCAGATGCTGAGGCAAAGCATGGACAGCAGCCTGACAGGCTGCAGGCCTTTTTGGTAGGAGAGCTTGCTTCAAGGGCTGGGGGAGCTGCGTACCAGAGATGATCGTGCCAAGATCTACCGGTTGAGGTGAATGCAAGCGGGACAGAGCGTCTGCATTGATGTTACTCTTACCAGAGCGGTAACGAATCTCAAAGTCGAATGACGCGAGTTGGGCTGCCCAACGCTGTTCAAGAGCACCAAGTTTAGCCAATGACAGGTGGCTAAGTGGATTATTGTCTGTGAAGACAATGCATTTGTGACCAAGCAAGTACTCACGGAATTTGTCAGCTATAGCCCACTTTAGTGCCAAAAACTCCAGCTTCATGGAGCTGTAATTGGCGGGGTTACGTTCGGTGGGCCTCAGACTTCGGCTAGCAAATGCTATAGGCCGGACCTTCCCTCCCTGCTCCTGCGAGAGCACAGCGCCAAGGCCCCCCTGGCTCCCATCCACTTCCAAAATGAAAGGAAGGGAAAAGTCAGCGTAGGCCAACAAAGGTGCCGTATTAAGCTTAGATTTTAAAGCTTCAAAGTTCTGCTGATGTTCACCCGTCCACTTTTCCAACACTTGCTGTCCAGACCGTCGGGGCTTTGACGCTCCGAGTTCCCCGACAAGGTGATGTAAAGGGGCAGCCAACTTGGCAAAGCCCTCCACGAAACGCCGATACTAGCTTGCGAACCCAAGGAATGACCGCAGCTGCAAGCCCATCAACGAAGGAACAGAGTGGCTTCGGCCCCGCACACCCCCCGGCAATCCCTCTCGCTCCCACCTAATGGCCTCTGCCCTAGCATCTAACAGGGAGATGGTAGGCTGCCTGCATGTGAGTTGCTTTAACTCTCGGCGAAGGGAACCGTCAACAACGTTTTCAATAAATTGATCACGCAACAAAACATCTGCATTTGGCATCTCGCTTGGAGCACATTGTTTCACCGCTGACATCAAGCTCATCAGGGCGAGGGAGAACTCGTGAAGAGTCTCCCCTTCCTTCTGTCGCCTCGAGAAGAACGCCTCCTGTAAAGCAACGTACGAATCAGCATAGCCATATAGTTCTCGCAAGACCGCAAGGATTTTAGCTGGATCACTTCGATCTGTGGCCGGACGATATTTTATTTCTTCACGCGCCTCTCCCTCTAGATGGTCAAAAAGAAAAAATGCTTGATCAGCGTTGGACAGGTGACGGGATCTAATGCAGGCCTGAGTTTCCTCGATCCACTCCTCTAGTCCTATACCTGACCTACCCCTAAACACAGGACACTTCCTGTCTCTGGGCACGAGGACCAGTCGCTCTGTTAGAGGAGCGACAGAAGAGGATGGTGCTGGACGAGGTTCAGCAGGAATGGGTGGTGCCGCACTAGGACCAGGCACGGGTGCAGCCTGCTCCTGCTGCAACCTGTCATTCTCTGCCCGCAGCTGTGCCACCAAGTCCCTCAACTCTTGCAACTCTCCCTCCAAAGCTACACTAAGCTGTAAATGTTAACACTACCAAAAAAACTGTCTCTGCTGGCTCGCCTGAAGCTGCCGTTCATTCACATTCACACTCACACACACACTTGGCAACCAAAAAGACTAAAATGATTAAACATAGGACACACGTCTCCACCTCCACTGAGTTGATCCAGCCAACAACGCCAGGTTTGCGGCGTCACGAGATATATTTTACCAGTTTGGATACCAACAGAACTTTGTTTGTCCAACAACGCCACCTTGGGAGAGGGACAAGGACCCGTATCTAAAGGTCAATTATCACCGTGTTATCCGAGGCACTCAGGTTCGTTCAACCAGGGAGGCAGGAGACGAGAATCAATAATAACGTACAAAATTTATTAATAAAAAGGTCGACATAATTAATGAGATGCAAATAAGATGATAACGTAGCCCAACTGAAACGGGGATACAGGCTGAGGCGTACGGGCTAGAGGAGGGGTCAAAACTGGTGACGTCCAAAGAAAAGAGAACACCCCACTCACAGCAAACATAAGGTGCACACAAATAAATCTTCAAACGGGGAGTCAAATAAAATGCACACACTCAGGGATCACCACCACCTTGGAGGACCACCACCACCACCGTTGGCCGTCAGCTCTGTAGGGGGAAAAGAAACACAATTAGGGAAAGGGGCTCATAAAGAAAACACACCAAACATAACCAAATCAATAACTAATCAATTTAACTGGGTAATAATGTTCAAAATGAATCAGAAATCAAACAAAGGAAACATTAACGACTCTCTGGCCAGAGATAAACTCAGGAAACCAAAAGTTAATTCATTTAAACCACTAACAAAAAGGAACTCAAACTAAAACATTACCCGTTAAAGTATAATAAGTACATTCCCAAAAATAAACAAATCACTTAAACAAAACAAATAAATAAAACAACCAAACCAAGAAATTACCCAAAAAGAACAAAACGAAATGAATGAGCGACCTTCACAGAGTGCCTTTAAAATGTCAAACACACATCCTCACACACAGTCCGAACCGGGGACTCGCAGTCGCGTCCACCCGGGTAACGCACTCGCTCCGCACCTCGCACGGCTGCTGGGGGGACAAAGTCAACAAAGGGGAGTCGGCGTGAGGCAGCCAACCGCACCCCGAAGCAGGCCGGCAAACAGCGGAAGCAGCGGAGGCGTTCAATAACAGCAGTAAAGCGGCAGCGAAGCAGCAGCAGCAGCACAGCGGCAGTAACCAGGCAGCCGGGGGCTAACCAGCCGTAACCAGCCTTTCGTACTTAGCTTTCAGTGTCTGCAAAGTCCGGGTCATCTGCCGTGAATTTTAGTCCCGTCCAAGAGGGAGAGGGGTGAAGAAAGCCTGCACAGCAGGCGGAGACAGCCACGCGCTGCACGAGGAGACAGCCAACTATGAGGGAAGGAGCGGAAAGGGGCTTAGCACCTGGCTAACAACAACAAACAAAGGTAGCTCGCCATGACTCACCTAGGCTTGGATAACAGCTGTGAATGCGCCCGACAGTATCGTCCCCAGACACCAAATGCCAGATCTATCAATCAACGACGGTTTAGGTTAAATAAAACCCAGACGAGGGTGCACAAATCACATGCCAAGGTGAGCCTACCTGTGCTCCGAGGTGAGCAGCATGGACGACCCGGAAGTGGGCGGGCCGAAGAGGCAGGAAGCGAGAGGTCAGGGGGAGGAATGCAGCCTACTTTTATACCCTCTGTCTGCACCATGATTGGCTAAGAGCTTGAAAGAGGCAAACAGAGCCGAGCTTGAGGCCATGGTGCCTCATACCACTACATTATGGTCATTTTTATGTTGTTTTTACTATTGCCTTTTTACTGTGTGCACTTTGAGGTCGGTTTTCTCAGATGTAAAGCAAAATATAAATACAATTTACTATTTTTATTATTATTATGATTATTATTATTTAAAGTTCCAGCAAATCAAACATAATTGAAGACAGACTTTGTCTAACTCATCTGAAGTTGTTACAGTAAGTGTTTATAATAAAGAAGACTGAGAAACTGTATTAAAGACAGGACAAATGTCCTCTACACAGGTACTTTTTCTGACCCCAGGAAACTCACTATGTAAAATGACAATTAATTGTTAGATCAATTTTTTGATTAACTGATCTAACAGTAAAATTAAGTTATACTATTTTTAGCGCTAAAAATGTCATGGTTACACTTGATTTTGGACACTTGGTGGTTTAAGTGATTTATGTTGAGTTTCCTCCCCCTTTTCCCGTCACAAAAGTCAGGCGGCTCCTCCTGCACCTACGCACCTGCACCTCATTACCTGTCATCAGTTTTTGAGCATCCCAATTTTGAGATGTATTCTCCTGAACCTGTGCTGCACTGAGTTTAACTTTTGTTTTCCTCTTCTCCTCTTCAGTGCCTCCACAAGCCCCAACATCTGCCACGCTGCCACAACTCACTCCCTCCGGATCATTCGCCTACCTTGCCCTCATCTCATCGCAGATCTCACACATTGGATCTAGGACCCCTTTTCTTTCCCAACCTGCACTCCAAATAAATCTTTGAATACTTCCTGTTGCCTCCAGTCTGCTTCTGGGTTCATTTAAACAACTTTTGGGAAACTGTTACAAAAAAAGACACAAAACAGCAAAGTTTAGCACGTTAACTGTACCTGCTCTTTATCACTACATATAATACGACATTATTATAAAATCCTGGAGAAGTTTTAGCATGTACAGTACATATACTGAGGTCATGTGCTGTAATTGCCTGGTGTAGCTAACAATTCAAACAACAAACTGTACCATATATACAACAGTTACTGAAAAGTTTATCTTCCAAAAAAAAAAAAAAAAATAGGAATAACACACTTTTTCAATCATGTTTGCTCAGTCTATACCTCAAACATGGTGACAGAGCCTTCAGTGTGGCCGCCCCTCCTCTCTGGAACTCTCTCCCCTCTGAGATTCGCCAAGCACAGACTCTTGACTCTTTCAAGTCTGCTCTGAAGCGACACTTGTTTATTCAGGCTTTTGGTATCTAGTTAGGTTTTTTGTAGTGTGTTGTTAAGCGCTTTGGGTATCTTGAAAGGCGCTATATAAATGTAAGATATTATTATTATTATTATTATTATTATTATTATTAAAGCACCTGCCCTCTAAAGCTTTGCCGTCCATTATTTTATGATTGCTCACAGCCTGCCCCACCAAATATTCCATTAATTAATAATGGTATCAGCTCTGGGATATGCAGTCTGGGCCAGCATAGTGCCCTCTCCTACAATGTTGTTTCTGCCACAGCTGCAAGTGCACCAGCTTAGCAGCGTTTATTTGTTCTATTTCAAAGTTCAGAATGTATTGACCTGCATGCTAACGGGTTATCTACATCTTGTAGCCTCACAGCAGTAATTTTAATTGTTACGTCAAGGTGTGAAGAGAAATCCCATTCTTACCTACAGACAGCATAATATAGTGAGCAAAGACAGTAGACTAACAAAAACATTCAAGGAGGAGCAGATTTAAACATTTTTAAGTCTGAGCTCTTTTTATAACATTGTTCTTGGGTTATTTATTGTTGGAAGAAAACAACGGTGGCATTTAATAGAATCAAAACAAATGGATGGAAGAGAGTAGGCACAAGTAACAAAAATGATAAGTTTATGAGAGTTTTGTTGGCAATACATTTTATATAAGCTATAGGCTGTTTTAGAGCACTGGCTCAAGTTTATTATTCTTTTAAAGTCCCAGTCTCTGTTAATGTGTATGTTTCAGCATTTCAGCCTTCTATGAGAGCTGGTATTGCTGCAGATGTAAATAGAGGGAGATGGGCAGACATACTTTATCCCACCTGTCTTAAAGAACAGGGTTTTTATTTGTATAAGCAGTGACCCACAGTAAAGATGAAACTTAGTTGACAATTCAGCTGCATCTTAACTCCAGAACTTTCCAGTATAAATGTTATGCATGCATGAATTGTTTGTAAAGTTACAGAAAAATAAACCCAAGTGGACAAACTATCTTGCGTTTATTTGTCTTTTGAGTCGGTATATATCCCAAAAAAAATCCCAAAAATTTCTTGAGAAAGTTATGAAATCCTATTAAATCTTGTATTGTACACCCTCCCAGGGGGCGCAGGATGTCCCAAGCAGTTGGAAATCGAAATCATGGCAAGTGTCAGTAAAAGTTTCCTACTATTTTGCCCCAGCGACTCAAACAACCAAGTAAGCAGGACAAACATCCTACTTCAACTGACATTTTGCAAATTTATTCAAAATAAGACACTCAAATGTTGCATAAAACAAGTATTCACACCCTTTGCTATAAAACTCAAAATTGAGCTCAGGTGCATCCTGTTTCCACTGATCAGCCTTGAAATGTTCCTCCAACTTGATTGCAGTCCACCTGTGGCAAATTCAGCTGATTGGACATGATTTGGAAAGCCACACCTGTCTATATAAGATCCCACAGCTGACAGAGCACGTCAGAGCACAAACCAAGCCATGAAGTCGAAAGAATTGTCTGTAGACCTCCGAAAGAGGGTTGTATTGGCGCACAGATCTGGGGAAGGTTACAGAAAAATATGGGAGAAAAAAGGGCCTTGGTCAGGGAGGTGACCAAGAACCCGATGGTCACTCTGACAGAGTTCCAGCATTCCTCTGAGGAGATGGGAGAACCCTACAGAAGGACCACCATCTCTGCAGCACTCCACCAGTCAGGGATTTATGGTAGAGTGGCCAGACAGAAGCCACTCCTCAGTAAAAAGCACATGACAGCCTGCTTGGACTTTGCTAGAAGGCACCTAAAGGACTCACAGACCAGGAGAAACAAAATTCTCTGGTCTCATAAAATGAAGATCGAACTCTTTAGCCTGGATGCCAAGCGTCATGTCTGGAGGAAACCAGGCACCGCCCACCACCTCCCCAATACCATCCCTACAGTGAAGCATGGTGGTGGCAGCCTCATGCTGTGGGGATGTTTTTCAGCGGCAGGAACTGGGAGACTTGTCAGGATCGAGGGGAAAATGAATGCAGCTTAGTACATCAAAATCCTTGATGAAAACCTGCTCCAGAGCGCTCGAGACCTTTGACTGGGGCGACGCTTCATCTTCCAGCATGACAATGACCTTAAGCACACGGCCAAGAAGACAAAGGAGTGGCTTCAGGACAAGTCTCTGAATGTCCTTGAGTGGACCAGCCAGAGCCCAGACTTGAACCTAATTGAACATCTTTGGAAAGACCTGAAAGTAGCTGTTCACATATGCTGCCCATCCAACCTCACTGAGCTTGAGAGGATGTGCAAGGAAGAATGGGAAAAACTCCCCAAATCCAGGTGTGCCAAGCTTGTTGCATCATACACAAGAAGACTGGAGGCTGTAATCGCTGCCAAAGGTGCTTCGACCAAGTATTGAGTAAAGGGTGTGAATACTTATGTATATGCAACATTTGAGTGTTCTTATTTTTAATAAATTTGCAAAATGTTCTAAAAAAAAATTTTTCGCTTTGTCGCCTCAAAAATTCTACACAAAATACCCCATTATTTTGTGTAGAATTTTTGAGGGTAAAAGGGAATTTAATCCATTTTGGAATAAGGCTGTAACATAACAAAATGTGGAAAAAGTGAAGTGGTATGAATACTTTCCGGATACACTGTATATGCACAGACTGAAGCCACACTGGTGTCATATTCCTAACCTGACTGTTGAGTAAAAAAAAAAAAAAATTTCTGTGATAAACAAATTTGTGGTGTCGTGATTTTTCTTTTTCTTTCTTTCTTTCTTTCTTTTTTTTTTTTTTTTAATAATTGCAGTGACTGAAGCCAGACTGGGGTGGCATTTTGTTTGCATTTGTATAATCCAAGTTTAAACATGAAAGAGGAAAATGAACAAATGCAACAGTATGGTTATTTGTAAGCCATATTTCTACATATTTCTCATTCTACAGTGAGTGTGTTCTTAGTTTTAGTGTTGGAAAAAAGAAAAAGGTTAGTTGTTGCAGGGAAACAGCCCTTTATTTCTCTGATCCGATCTTGTAAGTGTATATTGTGCAGTGTCGAAAATAACGTGTGTTGTGCTCAGACAGTGCGAGTAGAAATCATTTGTAGCACATTGATATTAATACTACTAATGCTATTAATGCTACTCGCTATATAGACTGTGTGTAAGCTTGAACGTTACCTTTCATGTTGATGGAAGAGGTTCCGACAGGATTTGATGCTCTTGTTGATGACTAAAAACAAGCGGAAAATAACGTGTTTTGTTGTGCTTACACAGTGCAAGTAGAA